CACACAACACACACACACACACACACACACACACACACACACGCGCACGCACGCACACGCACACGCACACGCACACGCACACGCACACGCACACGCACACGCACACGCGCACGCACACGCACACGCACACACACACACACACACACACTCTCTCACACACACACACACACGCGCACGCACGCACGTCACACACACACACACGCACGTACGCACACACGCACGCACGCACGCACGCGCACACACAGACACACAGAGACGCAATGAATCGTTGATGCCGCAAAACGCATGGGAAAGTATGGGACGTAGGGGGGAAGACGAACATCCGTGAGATCTGGAAACATCGCGGGAATCCGGGGATTTGTGTGTGTATTATTTGTGCGTCCCTGGGCCCCTTCGACGTGACCGATTGGAGAAGCCCCGCCGCCTTCTCAGGAGGCCCTCTCCTTCTCACTTCCCCCCCCTCGCTCGCCGCCGACCTTGACCCACGGCGGCCCCGGCAATCCCAGGGAGGCGCAAATTCAGAGGAGACGCTGGGGCCGAGAACCCATCGTGGGGCTGGGCCGACCCCTGGGCCCAGCAGCTCGCCCGAGCGTCGCCCAGTGCTGGGCGATGCTCGGGCGCGCCCCCGGCCACGGGGTGGGCTCCCCTCCCCCCCGAGGGCGATTCTTGGTGGTGGTGGCCTCCGCTTCGGGAAACGAAAGACTCGAGTACGCTGGAACTCGGGTTCGCCGACGCTTTTTGACGAACGCGTCCTGGATTTTAGCGGTCCAGCGTTCGCGGGATGTCTGCACCGGGAGCTCGCGTCAAGTTTGAGATTGGGCCTCGTCGTTTTCATGGTGGCCCCGTCAGGCCAACCCGAGTCCCCCGAACCCGAGTCTTACGTCTCCCGAACCTATCCTTTCATGAGTGTTCTTACCGCAGGTCGGCTCAGGTGGGGTTCCCGGTTGCCCGACGACCTTCCGATTCGCACAGCGGTGGAGGCCAAGCCGTATGAGGTCATGTGGTCGCGCTCCCTTTTCTTCCCCAACAGGAAGATCCAGCCACGGCGGATCGGCTCAGTGGGTCAGGGCTGGCTCTCCAGAGTCGCTCTAAACAGTCTTCGAGCCCAGCGGTTGCATACAGTGGAGACTTATGCCAAGAAACACCCTGCTTGCCTCCAGGGGGCCCTGGTTTTCTTGGGTTCCGATGGTTTTGCCATGGAAGGAGTGACGTTCCCATACCAAAAACCAGTGGACGTCCTGGGGTCTCAGGGTTGGGTTTCTTGTGGAAGGTTTCTTGTGGTCAGGCCTCCACTGTGAACAGTCTTCGAGCCAAGCGGTTGCATAGTACGGCGCTGTCCTTCAGGCGTCCCACCGCGTCGCCGGAAGCTCCCAAGTCGGGAGGGGGGATCGACGCCCCAGGCGGCCGAGAGAGGCCCAGACGCACCCCAACAAAAACCTCCATCCTCGAACCCGCCGTCCCACTGGAGGAGGAGGAGAAGGAGGAGGAAGAGGAGGAAGAGGAGGAGGAGGAGGAGGAGGAGGAGGAGGAGGAGGAGGAGGAGGAGGAGGAGAGAGAGAGGAGGAGGGGGATGAGGAGGAGGAGGAGGAGGAGGAGGAGGAGGAGAGGAGGAGGAGGAGGAGGAGGAGGAGGGGAGGAGGAGGAGGAGAGGGAGAGAGGAGAAGAGGAGAGAATGAGGAGGAGGAGGAGGAGGATGGGGAGGAGGAGGGGCTAGAAGAGGAGGAGGTGGGGCGAGGCTAGGGAGGCGGAGGAGGAGGGGAGGAGGAGGAGAAGAGAAGAGAGAAGAGAAGAGAAGAGAGAGGAGGAGGAGGAGGGGGCGTGAAGAGAGATATTGATCATAAGACTGAGGAGGGGGGTGGAGGACGATTAGGAGGGGCAGGAGGCGGAGGGAGAGGAGGAGGAGGAGGAGGACGAGGAGGAGGAGGAGGAGGAGCAGGAGGAGGAGGAGAAAGTGGAGAAAGTGGAGAAGGAGGAGGAGGAAGAGGAGGAAGAGGAGGAGGAGGAGGAGGAGGAGGAGAAAGTGGAGAAGGAGGAGGAGGAGGAGAAGGTGGAGAAGGAGGATGATGAGGAGGAGCATGAGCAGGAGCTTGTGGCGGAGACGGAGTTTGAAACGGGGGGGTAACGACGACGACAACGATGAAGCGATCCTCCTCCGCCTCCTCCCTCTCCCTCGTCAGGTCGTCGTCGGCGAATGGCGGAGGAGGTCCTTTACACCAGGGGTAGAGTGCTGTGTCGTCTTGGCCGCTTTGCGTTGCTTGTGTGCGCGCTTGCACGTGTGTCAGGCACCCCAGTTGTGGGGGAAGGTGCGCAGCACGTGTGATATGTTCGGACTCTTCTGGGCCTGGCACGGGGGCGGTGTTCAGCCCCGACCGATGCCTTGTCCCACAGGTTTTTATGTCTCTGCCGCTTGTAGCCTTTGCACCTTGCGTTGGAGCGGGGAACGGTGGGTCTTTTGTTCGCTCCGCCCAGTTGGCACAGGCCGCATCTGGAGGGCCCACCATGGGTGTACTGGCTCTGGTAGCGAGGCGGGCCCACACCAGGGGCTGACCAGGGGCCGTCCAGGCGTCCTGGCGTCGCTCTGTTGTTGTTTCAGTATGTTTGCTGCCCGATGTTCTCCCAGGGCAGGTTTCAGTGTGCTTACCCCACATCTGGGGCTTGGCATGTCGTCGTCCTGGCGCTCTTTGCACCTGGCACGGCGTGTCTCGTCGTCCTTGTGTGGGCGGTTGATCTGATTTCTCTGGCTGGCTACACTGCCACGTTGCGTTTTCTCGTTCTTGGCGGTGCAGGTTGCGCAGCCTGCCTTAGTACCCGAGCTTTGGGGTACCGCCTTTCTCTCTTGGTGTGCTTGGTGTGTGTGCGCGCGCGTGTTGCCCTGCACGAGTGTCAGGCACCCCGCCTCAGGGGGAAGGAGCGCCGCACACTTCTCCTCCCTCCTCTCGGCGGTGCTGGTTACGCAGCCAGCCTTAGTACCCGAGCCTTGGGGTACCGTCGTGTTGGAGGGATTTCAGAGTACCCGAGCACGGGGGCGTACCCCTCACCAGGGGCGCAGTTTGGCCGCCGTCCTGGCGTTTCATTACACCAGGGGTTGGCCTGCTGCGTCGTCCTGGCGCCGCCCAGTTTTTTCTGCTGTTGCGTGTCTCTTGCGTCTCGTGCACGTGTGTCAGGCACCCCAGTTGTGGGGGAAGGTGCGCAGCACGAGTGTTCGTTTTGGCTTTGGTTTGGCACGGCGGCCGCCCTCCTTTTAGAGGAAGACGGCGCCCTTCTTTACTTGCTGCCTGTACAGCGCGTGGTCGACTCCGACCGACTGGCGCCTTTACTGCGCCTGACGGTTTCGGTTTCGTCCTTTGTATCTTTTCTCGCCGCTCAGCTCAGCTGCCGCGGCTGCTGCTGTCGTGGCTCCGCCCGTCGCAGCGAGGCGTGCTGGCCGTGTCCCGTGCCAGCCGTTTGCGGCCGACCCTGACCTGTACAGGGGTCGTGCCGCTCAGCGCACTTCCCTCCACCTGTGCAGTCGTGGAGGGTGCTGTGCTTCTCCGGCGTTGATGATGCAACAAAAATCCTCTTCCTCCTCCTCCTCCTCCTCCTCCTCCTCTTCCTCCTCCTCCTCCTCCTCCTCCTCCTCCTCCTCCCTCTTCCTCCCTCCTCCTCTCTCTCTCGTTACTCCCACCTCGTTGCCCCCCCCTCCCCGTCGAGGCCGACCAGCTGGAGCGCGAGCTCGCGCAGCGGGACGGCGCCCAGGAGGCCCTGTCCGAGCAGCTGCAGGGCGCGCTCGGCAGGCTCTCCGTCGCCGAGAGCGAGCTGGAGTCCGAGCGCCTGGCCCTCGAGGCGCGTCGCCGTCGCCGTCGACGTCGAGGTCGTGGTCCACAACGTCGACGTCGTCGACGTCGAGGTCGTCGACGTCGAGTTCGTCGACGTCGAGGTCGTCGTCGCCGTGGCGTCGAGGTCGTCGACGTCGAGACGTGCTCACGCCGTGGAGAAATTACGACAAGCAGGTTCTCGGGGGCTTCCTTCGGTCTCCACAGGCCCCCGCCTGGCCCCAGGACCGTCCAGCAAAAGCAGTTCGGGATACCAGAATCACCGGGTCTCGGGAAGAAAGGGCCGGATTTTCCGGGGACTCGCGCGGAAGAAGACATCGGATGTTTGGGTTCGCCTCGTCGTCGCTCTCTGTTGCCGTCTTCGTCCTGGTAGGAGGCGGGAGAGGAGCAGAGTGGATGGGGAGGCAAAGAGGGATTGTGTGTGGCAGGGGGGGATGATGATGACGATGACGATGACGATGATGGTAACGATGGTAGTGATGCTGGTGATGATGATGTTGATGGTGGTGATGATGATAATGATAATGATGATGATGATGATGATGATGATGATGATGATGATGATGATGATGATGATGATGATGATGATGATGATGATGATGATAGCTGATGACGATTGTGATGACGACGACGGTGGTGGTGGTGACGCTGATGATGACGATGATGATGGTGATGGTGATGGTGGTGGTGATGGTGATGATCTTGGTGGTGGTGGTAGTGGTGGTGATGGTGATGATGATCATGGTTGTGATGCTGACCATGATGATGGTGCTGAATATGGTGATGATACTGGTGATAGTGATGATGGTGATGATGATGAGGATGATGGTGATGCTGATGATGATGCATATGATGATGATGATGAGATGATGATGATGATGATGATGATGATGATGATGATGATGATGATGATGATGATGATGATGCTGATGCTGATGCTGATGCTGATGCTGATGATGGTGATGGTGATGGTGATGGTGATGGTGATAGTGATGGTGATGGTGATGGTGATGGTAATGGAGGTGATGCTGATGTCGATGATGATGTTGAGGATGATGGTGATGATGCTGACAGTGTCATGTTTATACTGATGATGATGATGATGATGATGATGATGATGATGATGATGATGATGATGATCATGGTGGTGATGATGCTGATGATGATGACAGTGATGATAGTGTGGATAACCGTGATTTTGATGGTGATGGTGATGATGACGATGATGATGCTGATGATGATGACGATCGCGATCATGGGATGATGATATTTGTGAGGAGGCTGAGTATACGGATGATAATGAGGGTGAGGGTGAGGATGATAATGATGACGATGATGATGACGATGACGGATTGGGATGATCCTCTTTGTGGTGTTGATGATGCCATTGATGATGATGTTGATGCTGCTGATGCTGATGCTGCTGATGATGTTGGTCGTGATGATGGTGATGATGATAATGATGGTGATGGTGATGGTGACTGTGATGCTGTTGATGATCATGATGCTGATGATTACGGTGGTGATGACGATACTGTACTGATGTTGATGCGAATGTTGATGCTGAGACGAATAGGATGAGGATGAGGATGATGATGCTGATGCCATTGCGTTGATGTTGAGGTTGATGAGGATGATGGTGCGGATGTTGATGCGGATGAATTGGATGATGAGGATGATGATGATGAGGAGGAGGAGGAGGATGAGGATGAGGATGAGGATGATTATGATGACGACGATCCTGATTATGATGATGCTACGGTTGATGATGATGATGATGATCATCATCATCATGCTGCTGATGATTATGCTGTTGCTGCTAATACTGCTGGTGATGATGACGATGAGGAGGAGGAATAGGAAGGCGAGGAGGAGGAGGTGGCTGGCGGGGGGGATGGGGGTGCACGTGGGAGGCCGCCAAGGCAGCCCTCCTCCCCCCCTCACCCTTCTTCCCCGCTAATTAACCGCGAGCCTCCCCCCTCGCAGCCTCGCGCCTGTCCGCTGGCCGGCCCCCGCCTCGCGCGGGGGCAGGGCCTGTGAGGCCCTCGCGCCCCCCCGGCGGGGAGCCCCGGGCGGGGCGGAGGACTGCGTCGAGCCCGCCCGCGCCGCACGGGCCAGGAGCACACTTCACCGGCAGGGCCTCGGGCCCCTGTCCTCCCCCCCCCTCGAGCTTGGTTGGCCTCCCCCTCGCTCCTCCCTCCCCGCCCCCTGCTCTCTCACTCCCCCCGTCCCCACACCCCCTCCTCCCTCGCCGCCCCCCTCCCGCGACCCCCTCCCGCTCCCCAGACTGTGCGACGTCGCGGTGTCTGCACAGCCGTGGACCCCCGAACGTCGAGACCCCTTGCCTGGTCCCCGGGCCTGGCGAGGGCCCCCGGAGCCCGAAAGATTGCAATCTAGGCCTCCCAGATGGGGTCGGAGTACACATGGTTCATGTCGAAGTGTTCGAAAGCTCTTTGATTTTTTGGGGGGCCAAGATCCTTTCATTTCTAATTGTTCTCTCCTTGGAAATTCCTGGCCACTAGGGGGCCAGGAACAATTAGAAATGAGCACGATTAGAAATTAACGACGAGTAGATGGTGTTGGAGGATCGCGCCGCATCGCCGATGCATCGCCGATGCGGCTCGGTGCGGAGCCCGATTTTCTCCACGCCGATGTCGCCGATGCATCGCCGACGCCGACGATGCTTCGCCGGTGCATCACCGATTCATCGCCGATGCATCGCCGATGCATCGGCGATGCGTCGCGATCCTCCGACCCCATCCAGGAGGCCTCTATGCAACAGCGACAAAGACAGCAGAAATAAGAATCCGTCGTGAATGTCTGCCTCTTCCCCCGCTCCTCGAGGCCGGGTTCGAGGAGCGCCTGCACGCCTCGGCGGCGCGGCTAGACCAGCTGCAGGACGAACTGGCCGCCGCCCTGGACGCGGAGCGCGCCGCGTCCGCTGGCGCCGACTCGGCGCGGCAGGACGCCCGCCCTGCTCCGTCCATCCTCATCGGCCCCCCACATACATCCCACCCTAACCCCTCCCCTCCCTCCTCCTCCCCAGCCCTCGCCCCTCCTCCCCCTCCTCCCAGAGCTCCCGTCCCTCCTCCGCCTCCTCCCCCCCCCATCCCCTCCCTCCTCCCTCCCACCCTCTCTATTCCTCATCCTGCTCCTCCTCTCTCTCCCTGTCCTCCTCCTCTGCCCTCTCATCCATTGCCTCCTCATCCTGCCTCCTCTCCTCTGCCTCTGCCTCTGCCTCTGCCTCCTCTTGCGCCTGGGTGTCCCCCTTGCTCTCTCCTTGCCTGGGATGCCCCCACCCCCCCCGCCCTGCGCCTCCCTCGGCCTCGGCAGGAGGCGGAGGAGCAGGCCTCCTCCGCGAGAGCGAGCCAGGAGCACCTGCAGGAGCCGGCGGCGGCGGGGCGAATCACGCCGCCGATTCCTGGTGAACGCTTTCTAAGTCGGCGTTTCGACATTGGGCGGAAGGGGGGGGGAGGGGGGGGGTCTGGCTCCGGACCTCTGTTTACTGCCACTGCTTGCAACAGTGCGTCCTGTGTGGGAGGCTCCACATGCTTGAGACAGGCGCTCAAAACAGCCAAGATATACTTCACAGGGGGAAGGGGGAGTGGGTGCGAGGGCCCGCGCCGATCGGCAAAACATTGAATGAGAAAACGATCACCTGCCGCTCCGCTGTCTCCGCCTCCCTCTCACAAGAGGCGAGGTGAACGTATTCATATCCACGCCCTGGCGGTTCGGATTCTGGAGATCGAAGATCCAAGCCATGCACGACCATGCTTGCCCTGAGCCCCTTTGTGATTTCTTGGATGGGCACTGGGCGCTGGGTCCCCCTGGCGGCGCCTCCGGCGCCACCTTTGGGGAGGGGGATTTACGCGCCAGGGACGGGGGTCCAGCGCCGATCCAAGAAGTCCACGCGGAGCTTGGAGAAATGACAGTGCGCGGCTTGAATGAGGAACACTTCCTTTTCAAAAGGGGCTCGGTCGTTCCTTAGGTCTGCACCGTTCCGCTACCTTTTTGGCGGCGAGCCCCCTGGTGTTCCTTGAGATTTTGGACGCGCGGTTTTGTTTTGTCGATGAGGGCGGCTGGTCGAAGGAACGGGGCTCCAAGAGGGGCTCGGCTCCTTGCGCTTGCTCGACGCAGTGCGACGGTGGTCGCGCACAAGCCCGGCGCCTCTCTCGGGCCCTCCCGTTTCTTGCAGGGCGCGCGTTGGAGCTCTCGCTTTTATCCGCGTGCCAAAGTAGGGACATTAAGGTCCAGTTCCTCGCTGAAGCACCTCCCGTTCCTTAGACCGCGCGGTTCGGAGCTCATTGGCTCGACGTAGTGCAACGGTGGTCGCGCTAAGGTTTTGCTCACGCGGTTTTCGGGGTGACGCGTGTCACCCGCGTGTTGTTTCAGATTCTCTGGCCCCATGTTGGCGTCCAGAACACGAATGACATTCCCTCACACGGCTTTCGGGGTGACACGTGTCGCCCGTTTATTGTTTCACGCTGTTTGGCCCCATGTTGTCGTCAAGAATTCGGGTGGAACACTTGGTTTTTCTCACGCGGTGTTCGGGGTGGCGCGTGTCACCCGCGTGTTGTTTAACACTGTGTTGCATCATGTTTGTGACCCGAATACGGGTGAAACAGTTGTTTTTTGTTTTCCACACGGTTTTCAGGGTGACGCGTGTCACCCGTGTGTCGTTTCACAATGTTTGGCCGCATGTTGGCTCCCATAATACATATGACACTGGTTTTTCTCATGCGGTGTTCGGGGTGGCACGTGTCACCCTTGTGTCATTCCACGCCGTATGCCTCCATGTTGGCTCCCAGAGTGCAAGTGAAACAATGGGTTTGTCTCATGCGGTTTTCGGGGTGACACGTGCCACCCCTGCATCGTTTCACATAGCCTGGTTCCTTGCTGGCTCCCGCGTTCCCTGCGCGGTGCGAGCGGGGGCCCGCGCGCGGATCCGAACCGCAAAGGTGGCCGCGTGAGGGCACAGCCCCCCACGCCAGCCCCCCTGGCGTTCCTTGCGCGGTGCGAGCTGGGGCTCACGTGCGCAACTGCATCGAAAAGCGGCCACGTTCAGGCCCAGTCCCCCGCGCGAGCCCCTCGGCGTCTCTTGCGCGGTGCGAGCTTGGGCTCGGGTGCGTTACCGAATCGGTGAGTGGTCACGTTAAGGCCCAGTCCCCCACGCGAGCCCCGGGCGTTCGTGGCGCGGTGCGAGTCGGGGCTCACGCGCGGGTCTGAATCGGAGAGTGGTCACCTTCAGGCCCAGTTCCCCACGCGATCCCTCGGCGTTCCGTTCGCGGTGCGAGCGGGGGCTCACGCGCGAAACCGAGTCGGAAAGTGGTCACGTGAAGGCCCAGTTCTTAGCCCGAGCCCCTGGCGTTCCTAACGCGTCGTTCGCAGACTGCGCTTCTGCGTGCGATGTTGGAGTGGCGGGAAGGAGGGGGCGGGCATTCCTTGGTAGTTTGGCAGAAGGGGCGGGGGTCGAATCGCAAAAACAAGTCGTTGCGGAACGCCGCTAGAAAGGGGTTGGGCCCCAATCCTTCGGATTTCGTAGATCTACGTGGGAAAAAAGGGACTTTGTTCCTTATTGATCGTTGACAGGTCAGGCCGGTGATTGTATGTTGATATGCCGTTTTCGGATCTTCTATTCATGCCCGCGCCCTCGCGGCTTGAACTGCGGGGCGCAATCCCGTGGATACGCGGTCGAATGGGTGCGCTCCTCGCGGGGCATTCGTGAGGAAAACACTCCCCGTATCCACCGGGTCGCGGCAAACAGGCAGGCACTGCGAGGCCGTAGATTCGGATCCGTTTTCCGCCCGCGATCAATCCCATTGTCGCTCCTCCGTGCTTCTCCTTGATGTTGCTCCTCCGTCTCTCGGAGGCGGAGAGGATGGCCCAGTGCGCCCGATATTCACATCCCAGGGATCATAGTTTTTTGGGGGTTTCGGAGGGATAATTCACATGTTTCCCAGCAGCTCGCATGTACGAGTGTACAGATTTCTCAGTGTACGGTGTACGGTGTACGGAGTGTGTGTGTGGATGTACGGATGAAGGTTCGTGATTCGGGAACGTTGGCATAGCGAGAATCCCATGGCCCTGCCACACGTTCGTGATTCGGGAAGGTTGAGCCGGTGAGAATCCCATGGCCTTCTCACACGCTCGTGACTTGGGAAATCAGCCTTGCCACACGTTCGTGACGTAGGAAGCTTGAAATGGTGAGAATCCCATGGACCTGCCACACGTTCGTGACTTGGTAGAGCAGACCTGCCACACGTCCGTGATTTGGGCAAGCTGACACTGTTGGAATCACATAGCCGTGCCACACGTTCGTGATACTGCTGCTACTCAACCTAGGGGAACAGCAACTTCGGTTCGTACTCTCCACGGCGATGACAAAGTTCGGCCTCGCCGCCCGTCTCCCCGACCATATTTGTTTTGGCCGGAGATACAGTGGGGGCCCATGCCTCTTGGGGCTCTCGTGGGAAAGCTCCTGGAGGCCTCTTGGGGCGCTTTGCAGGCCTCTTGGGCCGTCTGGAGGCCGTCAAGGCGTCTTGGACAGATCGTTCGGCGGTTCGAGGTTCTCTTGGACTGCCTTTGGGGCCTCTTGGGGCACTCTTGGCCCGTCTTGGGGCTTTTTTGGGCTCCAGGGCTCCCAGGGGGACCGTCTGACCCCCCCCACCCCCGGGACCCCCCCCCCCTTGGCGGTGGAGGGATCGAAGGGAAGGGGCTTCCCTTCTTACGACGTTGCTCAACTTTGCCTTGGCTGGCGCGCTGAGGAGGTCCCTGGGAAAGGGGGGAGCGTCGACGAACCCAAGGAAACGGGGGAGGCAGGGAAAGGGGACGACAGAGACGACGACCAACGAATGATGGAGATGACGACTTGAACGGACAAGCCCCTCACACACGCTGACAGGGTCGGCGGATTTAGGAGCATTTTTTTACTAGTTTGATTTCTTCGCCCAAAATCCGCCTGTAGGGGGACATGCCCGACCTAATTCTAAGCCTTCTCCGAATCCAAAGAGGGCTTCTCAGAAGGCGGGAGGTAGGGTGCAGGCAAAGTTTGTACGTTTTGGCATATGCTCCATTTGCCGCCCACCCACAGTGTACTTGGCCCGCTCTCTCCTTCCATCCTCATCCTCCCCGTCCCGCCCACTCTGTTCGCCTGGCCCCACTGCCTGACAGCTGGACAGCGTTGCGGGGTGCACGGCAGTGAACTGCACGCTTAGCGAGGCTAGTTGCGTGGAAGTCCCGCACTCTGAGTCGCGGGCGCTCCCCGCCAGGAGGTGGAGCAGATGTACGCGGCCCTGGCGGAGGAGGGCGAGGAGGGCATCGCGGAGGCGAAGGCCGCCGCAGAGGCAGAGGTGGCGCTGGTGCGCAGCGGCTCGAGGCAGCTGGTGGAGGAGAGCGAGGCCGCGGAGGCGCCGGCGGGGGAGCAGCGCCTCGAGCGCGCACCCTCGAGTGCTTTGCAGCTCTCGAGCACGCGGTCGGGAACTCTGGCTTAGCCGTGCCGCGCCGCGGGCCCCGGCCCACCACGCCTCGGACAGACCTGCACGCCACTTGGCGGTGCCCGAGCGGCCACGCCCCGAGCCCTCCCCGGCCTCCCGCGGAGTGGAGCGGCACGCCGTCCGCTCGCAGGGCGTGGCGCGTGTTCGGGGCCGCCGCCACGACACGCTAAGCAAGCAGACGCTCCCGGCCGTGAGCTCAGGGTGGGGTGGGGAGAGTTTTCCCTCCGCGGGGCGCGTGTCGTGCGGGCCTGAGACCCATGCGGTAGGTTCGCGTCGTGTCGACCGGCGACGACCCCGCCGCTGGCGTTCAACGTTGAAAACGGCAACAGAACATGATCGTGTGTGTGTGGGGGGGGTGCTCTGTTACATTTGTGAAACCTCTCTCTCTCTCTCTCGTTCCACCCGCATGCCGAAATTGAAGGACTGAGCTCCATGGCGCGAAGTGCCAATGCAGTCTGGTGTGTGTGTGTGCTCCCTGCTGCACTCAGTTGCGGATCCGAGCGAGGGGGCGGCGGCGGGCCACCGGGTTCTCTTCCCCCCCCCCCCCCCGCTTCGCGCCCTGGATGGGGCAAGGAAGAGGAGTGCTCTGCCCCCCCCCCCCACCCCCCCCCCCCCCCCCTCCGCCCCCCCTCCTCCGCCTTCCCCTCCCTCTGCCCCCCCCCCCCCCCCCCCTTCTCTCCCTCCCTCCGCCCCCTCCCGCTCCCCCTTCCCTTCCCTCTGCCCCTGCTTCCCTCTTCCCGGGCGCCCGTGCTCCCGAAGGACAGTGCCTATGGCATTGGCACAGGCGGTGCTCGCAGGGCTTCTCTGGCTGCGAAGGCCCGCGGGGCCCATGGGCCGGAGGCACTCGCAGAAGGGAGGAGCGTCGCCTGCAAGCGGGAGCCCAATCCACTGGATCACAGTCAACGGATGCCCTTATCCCTCTCTCGCCCACTCCGCTTGCTCCCCTTAGAGCCGACGTCACCAATGCAGCATCGTAGAAAAACCAGGCCGGAGCGCGGCACCCCGTCTTCCTGCTGCATGCTCCGAGCCGGATCGATCTGTGATGGTCCCCTGGTCCGTAACCCAGGCGGAAGCGCGCGGTGAGATAAAGCATGTGGCGCCCGGATCTCAGGGCCTGCCCTAGCGTCTCGCCTTCCCCGCTCCCCCCTCGCCCAGGCTGACCTCCAGGAGCTCCTCGAGGATGAGCGACGGCGGAGCGAGGAGCTCCAGAGGCGGCTGGAGGACGTCGAGGACGCGCAGGCGCCGGGCCGCCCGGAAGCACCGCCGCGCTGCTCAATTCCTGCCCCTCCTGAAATAGGCGTCCTGGCGTCCTGCGTCCTGGCGTCCTGCGTCCTGGCGTCCTGGCGTGCCTATAGGCCCACCAAACGATGTTATTAAAAACAAAACTTTTTGTGGTTTCTACGAAATGTTCTCAGAACACTTCTGGCCGGTCTGTCTTCTTTCAACACATCGGGCTTATGTTCTAAGGGCATAGTGTTTTCTCTTGGAGCGCTTGTGGGTTCTAAGAACATGCCGTGGTAGGCCTATAGGAATTCCGGGACGGTCGGTCCCTGCTCAAACAAGAAGAAGCTGCATACAGTGGAGGCCCATGCCAAGAAACACCCTGCTTGCCTCCAGGATGCCCTGGGTTTCTTGGGTTTCGACGGTTTTGCGACGGAAAGCGTGACGTTCCCACCACAAATCAATCCTGGGGTCTCAGGATTGGATTTCTTGTGGAAGGTTTCTTGTGGTCGGGCCCCTACTGTATACATAAACTGTCCAAGGTTCGCGCGGATTTCTTGCACCGGACCTAGACCCCCTTTTTGGGGGGAGCGCCGCCAGGGGGGGACCAGCGCCGATCCAAGAAATCCGCGCGGACCTCCGAAAGTTTGTGTTTATGCCGCTTCTGTCTCGCCGGACCAGAGCCCCATAGCGAGTCCGCACGCAAATGGGGGCTGACAGCCCGATAGACTTAAGTCGGGCGTGTCCCTCTACAGGAGGAATATTTCAAAATAGCCGAACAATTACTCAGGGGACGGTTTTTTGATTGTTGAACATGTCTTGAACATTTTTGATGTATGTTTCACTTCTCGTCCAAAATCCGGCCGTAGGGGGACGTGCCCGACCTGAGGATAGCCCACCCCGCTCATCCGTGGGGGCCGACCCCCGGGCGGTGCCATGCCCGAGCGTCACCCCGAATGCGGGACGACGATCTCGGGCGTGCCGCCGCCCGGGGGGGCCGGTCCCTATAGCCGGTTGCGCTCGCGGTGGCGGCGGTTTCTGCTCTTTCGCTGGCCATTGCCCGACGGGGGGGGGCCCTCAAGGACGGGCGCGAGGGGCGGCGATGGCCCGGCATGCCCCCTCATCCCGGGAGGGACAACACCACCCCGACCCAGACAAGTGGCGTGTACGGAACGGCCCTGGGTGTTCTTGCGAAACCACCGTGCCCTGTTCGACTCCTCCTTTGGCTGCGTTTATTCGACGGCTTCGCTCATTATCAAGTCGGGCGTGACCCTCTACAGGAGGAATTGTCAACGATAGTCAAAACTCAGTCTGGGGACGATGTTCTGACTATTTGTGATTATTTATGGGATATGTTTTCTACTTTTTGAGATTTTTCTTCCAAAATTGCCCTGTAGGGGGACGTGCCCGACCTAAGCTTATCAGGGGGGGAGTCTCTGCTCTCGACCTCGGCCCTCCGCAGCGCACGGGCACAGGCCGTGCACGCACGACGTGGTGGCACGCGCGAGGCGGCCGGCGCGGCGTGCACCGTGCGCGCGTTGGTGCCGCCGCCGCCCGCCGGCGCTCGCTGGTGCGCACCCGGCGGCAGCAGCAACTCGAGGAGGGGGTTCGACTGCAGAGTTGACTCATCCCAGAATCAATTCGCTCGTCGACTCCATGGGACATGCGCTTCGTGCTCGTAGGGCTGCGAATCAGTCTACGCGTGCCTCGACGAGGAGGTCCATTCTGGGGCAGAGCAGTCCTGCACTCGAAGCAGAGAGGGGAGAGAGGGGTCGTGGGCGGGGCACACGTCCGCATCCAGAGCCTCGTGGACCGGGCTCTTGGGCCGCGACCCCATAGATGCTTGGTGCTTTTTCGCGGATGCCCCGCGCGGGACGTACTCATGCGACCCCGTATCGGGATCGCGCCCCAGACTCCAGGCCACGAGGGCGTGGATACGGGCATGTTCGTCGCACGTGAGTGGGTGGTCGAGCAATACGCGCTGGTCTCGAAAAGTAGGTATCTCTGGATTCCCAGATCCCAGTCTACTTCAAGCGCCTTCCTACTTCAAGTACCGAGATGCTTTTGCTGCGTGCTGTTCTTCTCTGGGAGGGCCTGAACCCAACCTACTTTGTCCGCCTTCCTACTTCATATTCTTACCTACTTGTTCCGACCGACGTGTAGGGGATTGGACAGCGAGGTGGCGGTCAAGCGGTGAAGTGTAGCCCCGCGGGGTCCGAGAGGCCACGATCGCGAATCTGCAGTCGGTTCTCGACGAGGAGAGGGCGGGCTACGCCGAGCTCGAGCGCACGAGCGAGGCTCCGCGGCTTGGCGTGCCGCACGGGGAGGGGGGGGGGGCAGGGGCGGAGTGGGGAGAGGGATAGGAGGGTCGGAGCGGGGTGGGTGGGGAGACGGAGGAGGAGAAGGGGAAAATGGGCAGGCGGGGCGGAGGACAGTTGAGGAGGGACGAGAAGGGAGGAGATGGCAGGAAGAGAGGGAGGGAGGGAGGGAGGGACGAAGACGAGGTGCTCAGTCGCGAGGCGCGGAGCCTGTGGCTTCATCCCTGGCCGGCGCGCCTGAGGCGCTTGGGCGAGGCGCGGGGGAAGGGGCCCCCCGCGGCAGCGTCGGGCGCCACCGGCCACGCCCCCTGGCCGTGGGGAGGGGCTTCCGCGGGCTGGGCGCTAGGACGCCCACCTGCGGGACATGTAAGTGCCCGCGCTGGGCGGCCCGGCCGGGCGCGCCGCCCGGCCTTGGGTGTGCGTCAAGCGGTCGGAACGAAGGGGAGAGGGCGGGTGTCGATGGGCGAGAAAGGAGCCCAGCGCGACCCCAGCTAGGCAAGGGCGACCTGGATGTATCTTGGGGGTCTTACACGCCGTGCTGATCAGCACCATGCCCTGCACAATTCACTACAATGTGATGCGACCGACGCGTTGAACAACACTGTTCGCAAAGACGTGGCACGCAAAACAATCTCAATTTGTCGCATATTTCGAAGGCCTGTCAACAAAGCGCAATGCGACGGAATGCGTTGCAATTCGAAACGACGCGAGTGCGCACAAAGTATGCAAGCTACGCGAATCAACGCGCATCAGTTCATTCGAAACGCAGCGCAATGCAATTCACGGCGAAGATGAGCAATGACTTGCAACGAGCTGCGCTTCGAAATGACGGCAAACAGTGCGGCCCGAGCAACGCAATGAAGAAACGATCGTGCTGGCAATGGCCAAATATACGCAAGCCAGCTCACAGTAAGGATCAAGCACTGGTGCGCGAAGGAGTTCGAGTTCAATGCCACGCAATGCCGTGCAATGCGCAGGTGCTGTTCGAATACCACACCGGGCGTGGCAACGCCATGCAAAGAACCTTGGGGAAGGGCCAGCAACTCCAGGGAACCCGCCGAGGAACCCAAGGAACCTCTCGTCGGATTGCCAAGTGGCCCCTTTGGCCGGAGCCTGGCAATTGGAGGATGCAGAAGCCACCGGTTTGCGCAGGATGAATTCGGGAATTTTGTTAGTGGCCTCGCGAGGGGACGCTTGACGCAGCGCATGCATCTGCACCCCCGCGTTGAAGCATGTGCGCCTGATGCCTCTGGCCGCCCCCGTGGTGGAACTCCGTATCTTGCATGCGTTTCGTTTGAGGCAGGGGCTTTGGCAGTCTGTCCGTGGTCGTCTTTCCGCGGCGCCCCGAAGCCTCGCCCCTTGCATTGCCCCGTCGGTATACCTCGGCTTCGGGCCGCTTGACCGCTCTTCCCTGCAGAGGGTAGCCGTGCTGTGGCATGCGGCACGCATCCGGTTGCTGCGCTGGCTCCTGAGCCGCGCCGTGGGCCACAGGGGCATCCCGGGGCGCTGGCGGGGCCGTCTTGGAAATTCCGCGGGGTTGCAGCAGTCGCGGAAGCAAGGGTGCAGTCACAGACACGTTTGTTCAGGGGTCCCGAGCAGCAACAACCAAGATGATGACGATGGTGATGATGGCATCGATGATGATGGTGATGGTGACGACGATGAAGAAAATAATGAAGAGGAATAGGACTGTGGGGATGATGATGGTGTCGCGGAGGACGATGACCAGATGGATGGTTATGATGATGCTGATCATGATGGTGTTGATGATGTGCTGTGGATGATGACGGTCGTGATGGTCATGCTGCTCATGAACCGAATTGTGATGATGATGGCGCTGATAATGATGGTGGTGATGATGACGGTGATGGTGATGGTGATTGTGATGACGACGACGATGATGATGAAACTGATCATGGTGGTGTTGATAATGATAACGATGACGAAGACGTTGGTGAAGCTGCTGGTTTGGTGATGGTGAGGACGGTGATGATGCCTTCTCTGATGGCGATGATGGTGATGAGGATGAGGATGAGGTTGATGATGAGGAGGAAGAGCATGGTGGGGATGACGATGATGAAGATGCGCAGGATGATCAGGGTGCTGATGACGATGTTGGGGTAGCGGACGATGGCGATGATAATGAGGATCAGGATGAGGTTGATGATGATGATAGTGGTGATGATGATGACGATGCCGATCACGACGATGGTGTTGTGGATGATGATAAAATGATCATAATGTTGGCGATGATGATGTATGATGGCGATGATGATGGTGATGGTCAGATGATGATGCTGTCGATGGTGGTGATGATGATGTTGGTGATGGTGACGATGAGGATGAGGATGATGCAGAATATGGTGGGAATGACAATGCTGGTGTTGCGGATGCTGAGGATGTTGATGGTGATGGTGATAATGAGGATGCTGATGGTGACGATGATGATGGTGATGATGATGATGATGATAAATATGATGATGATGCTGCTGATGATGATTATTATTATTATTGTGTTGCGGATGCTGTTGAAGACGAGGATGAGGGTGAGGAAGATGAAGAGGACGATGATGCTGACGATGACGATGACAATGATGATGGCAGTGGTGATGGTGCCGATTATGAGAACGATGATAGTGATGATAGTGATGCCGCTGCTACTGATGATGATGACGATGATGAAACGCCCTCGGAAGCGCCTACTGAAAGAAGCAACTGGGATGAGGTGGAAACGAGGGGCGGTAAGTGGCGGAAGTTGGCGTCACTATCAAAGATAAAAAACAGTTGCAGCAGGCGTCGGAGCACA